ACCCACCTCTCTCTCTCTTCCTCCATCCTCCCATCTTCATGCGTGAATATAAGATACACCCCGCATCGACCCCCGCATTTGCATGAGCATTGGTCAGTAGTCCCTGGCATCATCGTAATGCAGTTGCATTGTTCGCCTTGATGGTGTTGATGATGCTTGAGCTGATGGAACGAGGATGATGGTCGGGAGGAGACGAGGATAAGAAGTTTGCTGGTGTTCATCACGATGACGATCACGTGATAGTGTCATGATAACTAGCATGAAGCCGGTATGATGATGGCGGTCAAGGCGAACATTTCCATGTGCTCGACAATGACTGTGTTAATGTTTGGGTGTACCGGTGGTGGTGGTGGTGGTGGGGGTGGCGGTGGCGGTGGCGGTGGCGGTGGCGGTGGCGGTGGCGGTGGCGGAGGCGGAGGCGGAGGCGGAGGCTGAGGCGGAGGCGGTGCTTCTGCCAATTGGGTGCTCATGCTGGTATGACCGGCGCATGTGGGAATGTTTCGCAGCAGGCACACTAGTATTAGCAGCGAGCAACTTGTCTTTCAGGAAAGTGTGTTCATCGATCGATGCAGTGGTGAATTCGCTCGTGTCGCCCGCCTTGGACTGACTGTGGCGGCAGCATGTGTCTCTGAGTCTTCAGCTCAATGACTGCATCATACCCCCAAAGCGGGTCTCACTGGACTTTTGGGCTGCAGGGAGGCGGATTCGGTGGTGGGCACTAAGTGTCGGATTCATGTTGCTTGAGTGTGCTCAACTGTTTGGGACAGCCCATGCGAGCCAAGAAGTTTGACTGACTAGAAACAGACTGCACCGGTACCTGAGTCATTTTGACGGAGAAACACTGTGACACAACCCACTCTGTTTCGCTGATTGCCGAAAGAGAATTAAGGCAATTAAGGGTCAGGTGAAGGGCGGGGCAAGTAGGGAAGGGGCGGGCAAGGGGAGCCGACAACTTTCAAGGACCGGGCAGGGGGGGGGGAGGAATGGCAATGGAGATCTGTGCGAGGGGGGGTCCATGGCGGGGAAATTGTGGGCCAAAAAACGGGTGTCAGGCTGCTGAGAGGAGGACTAGGTGGAGGGCACTGAGTTTAATCTCCGAGACGCCAGGCCTGTGGCCCGGGCGGTAGATTCCCTTGACGGGATTCTCCTGCGTCTCTACCACTCTTGTGCAAATGAAGGTACAGTGTCGGCAGCTGCACGCCTGGCTCCTGCCGAAGACTCAACCACGCAGTGTTTCCAGTGAGCTGGGGCATGACATCAACGAGGCAAGGATGTCAGCCATACCATACAACGTTTTCAGCCCACCTCTATCTGTCATGTCAGTGATGCCAGCAACATCCAGCAAAAAGCAAGTTCCTCGAAGCTGTTTCACGAATTCTCGCTCAGTGCACTGAAGATTGCATGCATGCGCTCCACTTGGACAAACATCGGGCAGGGCTAGCAGCCGTTCATAAATCCGGGTTGTGAACGTGTGGACAGCCGGTGATGCTAGAGCCGTTGCTGGAAAGATGCGGCGCGAACACCGAGTAAAGATCGAGGGATTTAAGTGATTGGCTAGCTCAAGGACGTTGCTGGCGATCAGTATGCGCTTTACTTGCTGTTGCTGTGGTGGCTTGTTCCGCGAAATCCTCGGTTGCGTCTCGAGATCCACTTCTGTAACGGTTGATCCCATGCCGTCACATTATCCGCTAAAAGCCTTCAACATTGGTCCTGAGACTTAAACCCGAAGCCACGAATCAGACATGCCGGCTGCAAGGAAGCCAATCCAGATCAAACATTGTCCCTGCTTTATAGCTTTAGAGTGCCTAGAGCATCACAGCCTTTCGACATCAGAGTGAACCACGCCCCACGCACGTGCACATGCCCTCGATGCTCCGACGGCTCTGATGAAGGGGCCCAAAGTCGGCCCCTGTTCCCTTCTTGGTGTAGGGTGTTGGGGTGTCAGGAGGCGGCATACCTCTTCTGTACCCTGCACTTTGCCGCTTTAAGCTTTGGGCGGGGTGAGGTCGTAGCCAGCAGTCAGAAGCTCTGTAGAGACACATGCCGTGGCATCCTCGACATGCCGCGTCAGCGCAAGCGTGCGAAATCAGGCGACGGGTCGACCTTCTCTGCAGGGCATGGCTCTGTGGACGAGAAGTATACCGGATGTACGTCCTCGCCGGCACCCTTTTCTGCGTCCTGAGAAGCATCGACCTGCGATCGCAGGCGGGCCCAAGCCGCTGCAAAGTTCAGCGAGGCTCGCACCCGACCAGTGACCAGCGGGGTCTGTTCAGGAGATGGGGGCTTCAGGTGCCGTTTAGAACCACGGTTCCAGGTTACTGCTTACGATTGCTTACGGTTTCCGACCGCCAAGTTCGGAGTAAATGCTTCGCTGCCTGTTCCAGCTTCAGAAAGGCAGCAAAATCACACTTCAGCCGAGAGCCTCCCCAAGCTCCAAGGCCTGGTGGATGCCATGTGTCCGGCAATGCCTGTGGAAATGGAACATAAAGGAGCACCTACAATGACAGTGCTTTCGACATCAAGATGGGCGTCCGAGATAGTTGTGGCCGTACGAATGGTCGTGCCACCAGCAAGCCGATGTCAAGCCACAGCCACCGTCACCACTGCCGCCACCTCCAAATTCAAAAACAGCCACACCTACAATGCCAACTCAAATGGTACTAGAAATAAGAAATATCATACTACTGAACGGAATCACCACGAAAATCAGCGCGGTAGCACTGGCATTGGGAGGATGTGCTGAGTAAGAGTGATTCCGAGGTAAGAGTGATATCGACCCCAAGGTTGGAATACAGCAATATTAATAGCGAGAACGATAATAAGTAAGGCACGTAGTGGCGGGCATAGTCAAATCCTTCGCCGTCATCTCCAGTATCGCAATGATGGCCATATCACCATCGAAACTACAAGCACCTTCACCATCGTCATCGATATCGGCTTCATCAAGATCATGATACTCTCATCTTTTTCACTATCACCCTCACAATCAACACTGTCGTTATCGTCATCGTAATCGACACCATCACTAGCACTTCGCCATCACCAGCACGACCATTGTCATCTTATCATCACCACATGCATAACAATCATCTTCATCACCATTATCATCACATTGATCATTACCGGCACCACCACCGCCATTATCATCACCAGAACATCTCACCAGCTTCGTCAACATGGGCATCGTGGTTATCACCGTCGTCATCGACATTGGCATCGGCATGGCGGTCATCATCATCATCATCATCATCATCATCATCATCATCGTCACCGTCATCGTCATCGTCATTGTCATCATCATCAGGGTTATCATCACAAACCATACATTTTTCGTTCATACATACATTGGTTGATTGGTTGGTTCATTCATTTTATTAATCATCATCATTCTCATCCTCCCCATTGTCATCATCACCATGGTCATGATGTGCACCCTCATCGTCATCGCGTCATCATCACCATCATCATCATTCTAATGTTAACGGCAAGGATGTTTTTAACGCTCATGAATGACAAAGTCATGACAGGGATTGTCATGCATAGCCCCGGCAGAGAACTCAGGCCTTACTCCCTTTATAGGCCGAGTCCTCCTCTTCCTTGCGCTGGCCACACCGACGACGAGTCGAACTACGACGAGCAAGGGGTGTTCAGAGGTCAGGACTAAAACTCAGGGTTGAAGTCCCGGGGTCCCGTGAATTTCCTGCATACCGAAGTTTAGGTCTTGAGGTTGGGAGACAGAAAGAAACATCATAACATAGCGGAGCTCTTCTCAGAGCAGTTGGTGTTTCATAGTTTGGTTGCAGACTGTTCAGCACGGCTTTGGGTGCGGCTCGGCATGTTGTTGTCAAGATGCTTCAAGGGTTTCTTTTGTCGTGAACCCGAGACCCTAAACCAAGGATCTGGGCTCTAATGAGGATGTTTTTCTTGGGTCCGCAGGGTCCGATGATGAGATGCGCTGGCTTCACATGGGGACCAGATGTTGTCGGACGACCAGCACATAATTTTCAGGGTTACTGTAGCAATAGGCAAGGGTCTCTGTACTTCATACGTGTCAACATAAAGGTTGCCGCAAGGGTTTCTGGAAGGAACACTATAAGGGTGACATTATGCAAGAGCACGGGCGTTGCAGAAAACAAAAAGCTAGAGAAGTACTTCTCAGCACTCACTGCATCGAGTTTTTTTAAGGGAACTAGGACTAGGATGCACCGGTAGATCTGTATGGCAATATTTAGTAATTCGGATTCGATGCCTACAGAGACTCTTTCCAAAATGCCAACCCAATCGAAATCGAATCCCGGAACCTAGCCCTTAACCTCAATCCGGAACAGTCACGAAGTGAGAGTGCCACGACAGAGTCGGGCTGCAAGGCCAGAAGCACCTCGAAGCCACTCCTCGTGGAAGCGCTGAATCCTGAAAGCTCCAAGTGACCAGCCTGACATGTACACACTTTCAAGTAGTAAGGAGACTAGAAGTCTCTTTGTCTTATACTCCATCGCTCTCTGTCTCTCTCTCTCTCTCTTTCTGGCTCTTTCCCTGTGTAATCGTAGTGTCTTCCACAGCGCTAAGCAAGAAGCACGTGATCATGTCAGACCTCGCCACGTCTATGCCCTCTCTTATGGCAGGTCCTGCCTTATTCAGCGGTGCAGCATCAGAGAGAACTTCTCTGCACCGACGGCTACGTCGTGGAGGCTGCGCCGATTTTGGAACGCAGAGGTTGAAAGCGGCTTCTAATTCAGTCGTGAACCTTCTCTTCTTTGTCCGGCCCGTGAAGTTTCCATGGTTCGTCTTCAATTCTGTGGGCTTGTCAAGGATTCATGGTCTCGTACGTGTTGCAGCGGTCTGCGACCTGTGTGGGAGGACAGCATTTAATAGGGCATGGAGAGAGTTTCAGGGAACGTGTTCAAACAAATCCACGATGCTGAACTGCATGGTGTTCAATCCTGTGACAGGACCACGTTCTGACTAACGACGATTGAGAAGTCAGCCATACTAGCATGTTGCTTTGCAACCGGTGCAAATGGTCTCTGTCGAAATGGTCCGGAGAAGGAACCCCAAGCCCAAGCTGGAATTCTCGACTGGAGGCTTAAGAGGGCGCTGTGATGAGGAGGTGCATTCTTCCGGCGGGCTCGGGGCATGTTGTGCAAAGCACTGGGGGCTGTTGCGGGAGCAGAGCTTGCTTGACAGGCTTGGATTTCCACTTGTGGGCATTTGCAGGGACTGTCCTGAATGCAAGGTGACTACTTGCTGTCGTCAGCATGAAGGAAGGACAATTGCAACGGCTACACCGAAAGGTCTGTTGAGGATCACATAGCCGCCAAAGACTGAAGGACTGATGGCTTTAGGGACGGCGTCTGTGCCTCGACGCTCAACCTTAGAACCCGACAGCCGACAATTACTCCACATCCACCCACATGATAACCAGAAATGAGCATCACTCCGTTCACAGTCATGGCCGTTGTCGTTGCAAGCCTCTGGCTGCTGCACCCTTTTGCTCCAAGTCCTAGGTCCTAAGACGAGCCTTGAAGCGCAGAAGTTCAGAGTGAGCAGCAGAGGGAGTTTCAAGCCGGACAGGTCCCTCGGCAGACGGCAGAGCCACAAAGAGGCAACCGGGCAGAGGGTTCAGGCCGTGTCGGCTCGTTGAAGGCCCAGCAGCCGTGACCGCTGTTGCGCAGCTTGCTATCAAGTAGTTTTTTCGGATTCAGAGTTCGCAGAGTCCGGATCGTTTGGCGCATGAGATCTCCGCAAAACAAGCCAAAGCAGGTGCCAGTGCCTCTCCATCGCTGGGTGGTCGGACGACCTTGCCTGCCCGTTCCGCCACGCGCACTGGGGCTCAAGTGAGAAACGGGCTTTGGGTTTTGTCGAGGGTTTCGGTCCGTGAGTCTAGAAAGCTGGCCTGCGATGAGTTCTGTAGTCAGTGACATGCCAGCAAATGCCATGCGACTTCATCACTGGTGCTGGTGGTGCATACAATCAAATAGCCAAATGGCATGTGAAAATGCTTACCGGGCACGGGAGCATGAAATGTAGCCTGAGCAACAATTCCCAACGTCGCAGCAACTCAGGGCATTTGGACGATGATTATCCGGCTCAAGCTTTTGAACACCGAAGACTCACGCAATGTTTCTGACACAATCAAGCAATCCTTGAAGCCACAGGAATGTCTGAGCTGTCATTTATTTGGTTTTTGTGGTTCCATCACAAGCCAGACGTGCAGAATCTCGAAGCACGGCGCTGGGCAAGGCAGCTTTCTTACCAGAAAGTTCAAGAGGTCAGGGGCCCTGCCCGATCTCAGGTCGAGTGTCTCCGATTTCGCTGCTGGCAGTGGCCTCTTGGCCAAAGCCGGAACCTAGGGAAGGTTCAGACTTGATTTGGGATCCCTCCACAGGATAGCTCTTCAACTGGTGCTCATGACGTGGAAACGAGTGTTTTTTGTTGGCAGACTTGCAAGACTCGCACATGTCGACTGACATGTACTCATCCTCTGCGTGGACCGCTCGAGCAGGATCAGGAGGATCCATCTCAGCATGGTACCCAGTCTAGGACCTAGTAGCCCTGATTCTCGCTTACTAGCTTCGCTCGTGCGATTGCAGACCTCAGGAGCGAATCTATGGAGTGTGCCCGCAGGCTTTGGCACGAAGGATTTTTTGGTGCACTGGTGATTATTGGTGTGTTGTGGGGTCCCAGTTTTTCCACTCGAGGAGTTTGTGAACTACACCCGAGTGTTGCTGCTTTGTAACTAAGTCGGCTCTTGCAAACGGCTGAAGAAAGCTGCATCCTCATGGGTAATCTCAAGCCTACCTGAACCATCAAATGACTTTACCAAGCTCTCAGCAAGACCGTGGTCTATAGGCTGGGGCCCAGCAGAAACCAGAATTCCGGAAAGAGTCCCAGCCCTTGTTGCCATAGAATGCCCATGCAGGAAACCAACATGCCACTGCTACATCGTCATGAACTGCGCAGGCAGGCTTGCTCCCTCCGCTGGCCGCTGGTGGCCTGCCGGATGCATCGGAGGAGCGGCCAAAGGGCCAAACAGCCCAGGATGGCGGATTCATAGCAGGGCGACTTCGTGGTTGAGCTGTCTATCAAACAAAGGTGTATAGGGCCTAGCACTGGGAGATTGCAGACTGTGCCACTCTTGTGGAGCTCTGCGTGCGCTGCAACGCAACGCGACACAAAGAAATGCAATGCAAGCATGCATGGATGGATTTGTGTCTGTCTGTCGGTCCGTCTGCCTGTGTATCTGTCTGTCTGTATGCTTGTCTGTGTCTACGTATGTATGTTTGTATGTACATGCGTACGCATGTACCTGTGCATGTGTCTGTCTCTGGTACGAGGCACCTAAAGTTCAAACTTCAACCACTAGGCCCCCTGACATTTAAACTGCACCGCACCTGCGCCTGCACCCCCCCAGCTCCTCATTCCTTTCTGCCTGCCACCCCTGCCCGACCCAGAACACTGAGAACTAAGAACACTAAATCCCCCCACCCGAAAACCCAACACCCAACCGCCCCCAAGCCCCTGGCACTGAGCAGGGATCTGAACGCAGCCGAAGCCGAAGCCGCGAGCGCCATGTAGAGGCGCCTTAAGTGTTTAGGGTCTTTTGTGTTCGGCGGCTTGGCTGGAGGCTCAAGGGTTTGTGATCGATACGGGTGCTTTGAACATTTGAAGTGATTTTTGGACTCACAATCCACTGGCACCTAGAAGTTTCGTGTTCACGCGTTGGAATGGTTTTGTAGTTCATGATTTCTCGACGTTCCGGGTTTTCGGGCCATTCGCGTTAATCCGGAGTTCGTGCCGTCTGCCATGTGTTTTGCCACGACGGTCGGCTTTCAGGGAATGCGGGTGTGGGTGGCGGGTTGTGGTCGTAATTCCTTAGGTCCCCAACTGCTAAAATGTAATTGATCCCGTGTTTTGGATGCTGGCGGCCATCCCAAGAACCAGGTTCATGGTCGCGATCGCTTGTCATGGACCCCGCGTAGCGAGCCCCAAGCCCTAGACTTCAGCCTTCAAACGGCAGTACTGACAAAGAACAGCGCATTGTAAAGCAATTACTGTAAAACTCTCCACACAGCCTGAACCCCTGGTTTGAGGCTCCGGTCAGGAGCTGCTTAGAGAGAGTGAGATTTGTACACCCCTATCCGATCTAAGGTTCCAGTTTTCGGCTAGGCCGCTAAGCGGCTACGGATCAGGGACTCATCGGTTTCTAGAGGCTTCGGAGGTGTCGTGGGGTGGCAGGGCTTGAACTTATGTTTAGGGCCTTTGCGCACTCAAAGCCTAGAATTAGGTCCTACGTCCGAGTCCAAGTTCCTGTAGTTCAGAAAACACACCCAGCACTAAGCAGTGTCCGGTACCGTGAAGCTGGTGGGAACGCTAGCTCAACAGCTTAACAAAAAATCCAGACAGTTGGAACTTGGAACATGATCGCCGTCATGCCTTTAAGGTTAAAGTCTAGGAGGTCGGAGCACGGATCAGGCTTATCCCATATTCCAACCTTCTGGGGTTCCCTAGAAGCCGTTACCCGGCCGACCTCCGAAAATTGCAAACGTACATATATATATATATATGTGTATATATATATATATACATATATATATATATACACATGCCTGCAGGCAGCCTCAGTCCTCGAATCGCTGAGTCTTAGAGCTACCAGTAAGAATCATCTGTTTGAGGCCTCTTAGGCGTATCACTCTGTCTTCAGCTCCTCGAATCCCCAGATATTGACACCAGAGACCCGTTAGCCCTTAACCCTTTGTGACCTTTCTACCCAGAAATCTCAGAGAGTGGCGGCTTTCGCAGGAGTCGCCGCTGGGCAGCCTGCAGCCACACCGGGGCGGCCGCCTTCTGAAGAAGCTGGGGTGTGGCCAAGGGGAGGAGACGTCCTCCTTCCAAGCTGCAAGAGGGTATTTGAGGTCGATTTCAGGCTTCGGAAAACAAGCGCAATCGACAAGCTTAAATGTGCGTGGGTGGACACTAAGGCACTAATAATCTAGAACCAACATCACCAAACGGGCCTGGTTCGATTCGGACTTCTCGAAGTTTCGTCTGCAGTAGCTAGTGAATTCATGCGCGTGCCATGCTACCAGCGCGACATGAGCTGCAGGTTTTGTCCCCCAAGAAGCCACCTGCCAGAAAGACTATTCGGCGCTGCAACGACTATGTACGGGTTCTTGGCTGCCACCACCTTGTTTATTCTGTTAGGTTCATGATCGTGTCTGCAACTGAAGTCTTTGTTGTTTTGGTCCGCTTGAGGGACGGGGTCTTATCTGTAAAGCACAGCGATTGCCCGCTCAACCAGATCTGCTGTTGGAAAAAGCCGATGGTGATATAAGCTCTTTTCATGTATAAAAAAAGCAGCACTCGCTTGATAGGACATGCCTAGTTTGCAGCACTGGCACATGTAAAAGTGCAATGCAACCGGATGGAGGTGACAAAGACACCACCTATACTGTGTGGCAGCTCCAAATTTCATGAGCTTCTTGTTGCAGGAATATGTGCTGCCGGCAGATGACACCGTGTCAACAATCGCAGCCCTGCTGCACTACGGCATTTCGGACAGAAGGCAGCACCGAGGGAAAACAGCAAGAGGCCAGGTCTTGAACAATTGATACTAAAGTAAGAGCCTCAAGCTCGCTTGAGCATCGAAGAGTGCCTTGTGTGCTTTTGCGTCTACTCAACAAATTTGCAGCACGCCCAGAGTGACGAGCAAGACCTCCAAATTAGCCCTTGTCAACCATTGTGCCGACTTCGCTTGCAGCGTCCTCTGGTTCTGTCGGATCTGCACGTGCGTGCCCCAGAGACGAGTAGCTTCATGCAAAGCAGGATATGCACATTACATTCAATTTGAGTCGGTGGTGCTTCTTTCGGCTCTTTCCGAAATCGGTCTAAGTGTGCAGGAATGTGCTCACGCTTGTAAGCTCTGAATACCGGGCAAGCCGGCTACTAATAAGTGCGCAGAGAGCAATGTTGCCCAGTCGAAGAAATGAACGGCTGTGCTCGGAATTTCAGTGGAGGCTTTGGTTGGGTCGATGGCTGTTAAGCAGGCTTGGCAGTGCTCAGTGCCACAGCGAATGATGAGGTTTGTAGTTAGCTCTATAGAAGGGCAACGGGCCAGGAGCTGGTTGTGTCCGATTGGATGCGTGTCTCTTCCGATCCTTACGGCCTCTTTGTCCCGCCACGCTGCACTCCTTGTTTCTTTCAATGTGGAAGTGTACTAGTGAGGTTCTTGGTCATACTGGTAGCATCATCTGCATGGCAAGCAAATCGTTGCATGAGGGTTGAGGTCGTTTCAAGCCTGTCTTCCGTCAGCGCGATGTCACCTTCAATGTGCTGAGTAGTATCACACTTTATATAAGCATGATCGATAGCAGGAAGCGGTGCATGTGCTTTCCTGCGAAAGTCTTATACTCAACCACGGCCAAGCCAAGAGACCGAAGATCTGACTGCAGGAACCCACCCGGCGCGTGGCGCCGGTGGCCATCCGCGCAGGTCTCGAAGAGTCGAGCCCTAATGGCAGCTTCAGGCAAAAAAGCGTTCTCCTGTTATGTTTATAAACGTTTTGTTTTATGAGGCTCTCCTTACTTGTGGGTCTTGTGGGCACTCCGAACTGCTCCAGCTTGCCGTCATCGCTCGTAGCTTACAGTATGTAGGTTGTGAGTTGTTGGAACCGCGCATGGTTGGATGTTGCCTTCACTTGTGCATCCGCAAGATCCGAGATGTCCCGGGCCCTCCGAGATCGCTTGCGGGCAGTGCTAAGCAGGTAAATTGAGTAGAGATGCAATGTTGCCAGCGCTTCCTCCATTGGCACCGAAAAATGCATTATACCTAGTCCCAGCCAGCGGATATTCGTGTAAACACCTTCCGCGGCTGAACTCTGAAACCTTGAGCCTTGGACCCGGAGACTCACAAGCCTACACTTTGGAAGCTCTCACGCTCTATACCCTATGTTATGCTCCTACAGTCAACACTTCAGTCTGACCCTCCAAACGTCACGGGACTCCTTACCTTTTCCGGAGTGGCGCATCCAAGGATGGCGATCATGAAGAATGCCGGCAACAGGGGCATCCAGGCGCGAAGCTCTCACAGTTTCGACATATTTGCAAGATCTTGACACGCAATATGTAGATTTCGGTCCCTTGGGTTGATGAGTCTTTGGCTTTGTGCGGTTTGGATCCATTCGGGTGCAGGTCTCGTCGAGAGGATTTTTGGCTGTCGCTTGGAAGGGTTCGCATCCCTGGGTGTCACTGACTACTGCTCTGCAACACCTGCACTGTCGGTGATTCGAAACGGTTATGCAAGCAACAATGAGTACAACTTTGAGCAAGTGCACACAGGCACATATATGTGTATATATATATATATATGCTACCCCCCCCCTCCAAAACCCACCCCCATATATATATATATATATGTTCTATCTACTCGTATCCATCCGATCCATCCTTCCATCCACGACCGTGGCGTCACTAGCCCTCACCCCCACAGCCCCTTTTTTTCCTTGACAGCCCTACTCTCACGTTCTTTCTAGGGTACAGGTGCCGGTTATACTAGTCGTGTTGCATTGGGGTTTGCGCTGCAGAATTCCGCCACACTGCATTGTTAACGTGACCTAGGACGTTGGTAAATGTCATGAATCCTCACAGGGTCTCCGACGTGAGTTTTGTCGGGACTTAGTGAGAATTGTTGTTTAGGTATTGCAAAATTGACCTTGAGCCCAAACCCTGGTCAGGCCCTGGTCTATTCTCTGTATTTCTCAAGCTTGCGGTCGCATATCCCAGCAGGATGGCCAGTTCGCCTATGCACGAACCGGCGCGCCTTGGATGACAAGGCATGCAGTCGATTTGAACGGGCAGCAAGCGAGTTGCGCAGGACTGTTTCCACAGACTTAGCCCTGCTTCAGCTTCCAAAGCCCTCTCAGTAAGCATAGATGTACATGCATTGCCCAATCTTGTGTGAGTTGCCTCATCTCTGTGGTGGTGACGAGGTTTACTTCGGGAAGTACACAGGTTAGCGTTTGCAGATTCAGAAACAAATGTTGGGCAACACATGTCGATATTACAATGACTTTCGAGCGAGCATCGTGTCTTCGATTGGTCGGCCAGAAAGGGATGACCTTTCTGGCAGCATATCCCGCTGTAACGCCGCAACCCACCATGCACCCCCTCGTCCCGACTCCCAAAAGACACCCCAAACCTTCAATCCTTCACTTTCAGAGATCTGTTTGCTTAGGCGGATCCCTACGACCTTGTTGCCTTTCCTCCGGGCAATGTTCCGATCGAAGAGGCGGAGTGTATTCGTGCTTCCTGGAGTTGTGTATGCGCACGGTAGCATGCACGTGTGTTGATTTTGATTGTGTGTTATCTTGTTACGAAGCATGCATGCTGTTACTGCTGCTGCTGCTGCTGCTGCTGCTGCTTCAGCTTCTTCTAGTTTAGGTGCTGGGGCTAGTGTCGTTGCTGGTTGTTGGCTGTTGGTTGTTTGGTTGTTGTTGTGGTTGTTGTTCCTGTTGTGGTTGTTGTTCCTGTTCCTGTTCCTGTTCCTGTTCCTGTTCCTGTTCCTGTTCCTGTTGTTGTTGTTGTTGTTGTTGTTGTTGTTGTGGTTGTTGTTGTTGTTGTTGTTGCTTTTGCTGTTGCTGTTGCTGTTGCTGTTGCTGTTGCTGTTGCTGTTGCTGTTGCTGTTGCTGCTGT